TTAATTTGTGACTGTTGAAAGTTAGTAATATTAAGTGCACTCTTTTTTGTAATTTTACCTTGTATTTTAGATTTGGGGGTATGTGTGCAGGTTTGTTGTGTAGGTCTAAGTATACTCTTAATTTAAAATGGAAATGTTCATGATTACCACATTCTTGTTAGAGGGAACAAAACTAATACCCGTACTCAGTGATGGAACTATGTGCTTTGGAGTCCACACTCCAGGATGAACAGTTGTAAATTGTTAATATGACTCTTGTTACTTTGATAGACATAAATGCCAGCCCACTTTTTTTTTTTTTTTAACTTTTTTTGTTTACAAAAACAAACTCTTCAGTTCTAGCATGGTGGCTGTGAGCAGGGACTCTGGAGCCAGACCAGCTAGGATTGCAGGTCCACATCTTAGTAGTTGTGTGACTTTGGACAAGTTTCATAGCCTCTTTATACCTCAACTTCCCCATCTAAATTGACGATACAAATAGTACCTACCTGAAAGGCTTATCATGAGGATAAGAATTAATATATGTAAAGCACTTAGAACAGTATCTGGTGCATAGAAAGCGTAATATAATATACGTGTTTGTTTGCTGTTGTCATTGTTTTCTATAAGATAAGAATTTTGTCATAAAGTGTCACGAACAGATGCTGATGGTCTGAACCAAACCAAAAATGGGAAGGCAAGGGACTAGAAAATAAACTTTAAACACATTATCCAACCATAGACCATTCCCAGGGGTACAGGGAGAGAAAGACAGAGTTAAGGGTAAACCTCACTATGCATCCCGGAGTAGAAGGCTGTGGGTACATTTAATCAGATCCCTATTTCTGATCACAGACAGAAATGCACTTGGGTGCTTGTTACCAGAGCTAAGTCCATGGGTCAGAGGCAGAAGGGAGGGCGAAAAGGGGGCAAGCAGAGAACTGAACCAAAGAGCACAAGCTCGCTTCCATAGTTCCTTCATTCTCATCAGAACACTCATAATCTAGAGTCAGATTCACTAATGAATTCATTTTCCAAGTTTAGCTGGGTGAATTTCAGCAAATTATTTAGCCTCTTTGAAGCTGGCTTTTTATAAAATGAAGATGATGATAATAAGACTTCTTAAGATTGTTAAATTGAAGGAAATAATCCATGTAAAATGATTAGCTCGGTACCATCAACACAGAAAGTGACCTGGGTGATGATAGTCATTATCCTCATAAGTTGATATGTAGAATTCCAAACACCTGAACCCTGACCTGACACTGCCACTGCTTCTCTACTTTTTCTCATTCCTCGGGCATCTGAAGGAAATAAATACACAGAGACCAAAACTAAACCAATGCCCATACTTTATCTATCACTGGAAAGCTTTTGCCTTATTACAGTAAGCCCCAGCTGAGCTAGACCGACCTGTTTGGAGAACTAGATAATGGAGTTAGATTTGATCTTTCACTCAGCTCTGCACCAACATAGCTCTCCTTTGCCAAGACAGAGGCTCTAAAAGCAAGCTAAGAAAAGCAAATGTTTTTGTTCCTAAAGCTTAGAGCTAAATTTGCCTAACTCACCCTTCTGAGATTTTCTTGGAGTGGGACATTGATGTGAAAGAGAAAGAAAGAGGCAGTTTTCAAGGTGGGAACAGGATGACAAACCAGTTCAGAAGGAATTCTTGCAGTAATCCCTAATGGTGGCTTAGGTCAAGGTGGGGGTAGTGAGAAGTCGTCAGATTTTGGATATATTTTGAATAAGGAGCCTACATAATTTGCTGATGGATCATGCGTGACATGTGAGAGAAAGGAGGAATTAAAGGTGACTCCAAAGCTTATGACCTGAGAAGCTGAAAGGACGGAGTGTTTTTATTTTCATTTACTTGGTCAACCTTGCTTGCAGTCTTGTTACCCAAAAGGTCCTAACATTGGCTGGAGCTGACTTTTCAATCAAGATAAGTTGTATAAAAATATCTGTCTGTATTTCCCTCAATAATGATTCTCAGTGTAGAAGGCTATAAATCTTGCTAGATTTACCCTTAGGTGTTTGATGTTTTTCAATGGCGTTACAAATTTTCTTTTATATTTGTTTGCTGCTGTAAACCGATAAAAGAATTTAACCTTGCTTATTGACCCTATACCCAACAACATTGCTAAATTTCTCTATAAAATTGTAAAGATTTTCTGTGTACATAATTATGTAATCTGCTAATAACTACAGTTTTATTTCTAATCTTTTTGTACTTTGCTTTTTCCTTCTTTATTGCACAAACTAGGACCTCCATAAGGTGTTAAATAGAAGTGTTGATAGTGGGTATCTTTGTCTCATTTTTATTCTCGGGGGATGTTTGTAGTATTTTATTCTTAAGTAGGATGTTTGCTGTGACTCTTAAAAATGTTCTTTATAAGATTAAATAAATTGCCTTCTGATCCTAGTTTGCTAAGAGTTTTTATCATGAATGGAAGCTTGTTAGAGATATTGAAAGACTTTATTGTTATGGGTGGCTTTGGAGTTCTCAGCCCTATCAGATCCCAAATCCCCTTCCTATAATACATTTTAAGAAAAGCCTCCTTTACCATACCTAAAGTGAAATTCATAGGTAATATAATCCACCTGTGCTATGTATTTTTTATATATATATAAAAAATAGAGAAGAAATAAGGGTAATTTATAATAAAATAGTGTAGTCATCATGTAAATGATCTGGCATGACTATATTATCATATAATATATTACCCATCAAATATCCACAGCATTTTTTAGGGTGGGCCGCCACTCCCATTCAGCATCATTGTTTGAGAGGATAATAGCACAGGTTTACATGTATAGCAGACTTCTGGGATTAGAGATGAATCAGTAGTACTATTAGGAAATACCAGCCATCATTAGGATAGTTTTAAGGCTTTTTTTTTCTTTTTTGTGGTTTCTAGGGGAAAGTTTACTCATTCAACAAATAAATACCTACTGAGTATTTGGCATGTGCCAAGCACTGTTCTATGGGTTGCTAATAAAACTGTGAATAAAACAAAGCTCCTAGTCTCTTAGACCTTATGCTCAGTAGAAGAGAAAGGCAGTAAATTAATAAATATGTAACGTGTAAGATAGTGATAAATGCTACAGTGAAAAATAGGCAAGGTAAGGAGCTAAGAATGATGGGTGTGTGTGGGGTGGGGGCGAGGGAGTAGGGAAGAAGCTTGAGCAGAGATCTGAATGTTCATATCTGGATGTAAGCTTTCTAGGTTGGGAAAGGAGGGAGCACACTAGGCATAGAAGTTGAAAGACAGCAAATTGTTTAGCACCTAACATGGTGCCAGGCATCATGTTAGGTGCTTTGCTTACACTGTTTTATTCCTTCCAGGAATCTTATGTAGAGAGTGATGGTGTGCTCAATTTACAGATGAGGAAATTGAGGCACACACATTAGAAAGTGATGTAGCTACTACAAATCCAGACCCACCTGGTTCCAAAGCTAAGGAATTGGTGAAGGAATGCTTTCAGGAGCCCTCTTCTTTTAGTGGTCTGTCACAAGAGTAATTACATTTCATTCAGAGAAATGAGAGAACTGGGTAGAGGACTTGAAAACATAATCATTTACATTTTTTCATGTAGCATTTTAAAAATATTTGAACCAGCCAGGCACGTTGGCTCACGCCTGTAATCCCAGCACTTTGTGGGGCCGAGGAGGGCAGATCACAAGGTCAGGAGATTGAGACCATCTGACTAACATGGTGAAACTCCATCTCTACTAAAAATACAAAAAATTAGCCAGGCGTGGTGTCAGGCGCCTGTAGTCCCAGCTACTCTGGAGGCTGAGGCAGGAAAATGGCATAAACCCAGGAGGCGGAGCTTGCAGTGAGCCGAGATCGTGCCACTGCACTCCAGCCTGGGGGACAGAGTGAGACTCTGTCTCAAAAAAAAGAAAAAAGCAATATTTGAACCAGTAAAGGCTTTGAAATATTGTGAGTGGAAAACATTCCAAATTAAGTTAGAATGAGTAAGAGTGTTTGTTTTCGTGGGCTTTCCATGTTTTTATTCCTATTACCTCCTAAAAGTTTTTGTTTTGCTTGGTCATTTCCATAGTTGATAATACCAGTGACTATGCATGAACATAAAACTCATTCATTTTCATTGTTTAATACTAAAAGATTTATTATCTTAGATTTATGGTAGGTTTAACAGAAATAAGTAATTTTAAACTGAATGCTTTCTTAGGTACCAAATATCATCTGTTGGTAATACATGCATTGTTAATACTGTAAAATTAACGAACTTCTTAAGCGGAAGAGGTTGTATTATACTTTTTACCCTCTATGGTGTCTATTGAAGGGCTGTTCAGTTTGTAAAAGTATTTATATTTTCCTAGTACAAATACTGTAAAATTAAGGTCCAGATTCACTAAATGATCATGGCTAACATTTGAGTGATGTTGCCTCTAAGCATTACTCTGAGTGCATCACATGCTTTGAACCTTTTATTTGAATGTCAGTATATCTAAAATAACGGAATATTTTATTAGCTTATGTTTCCTGTTCATTTTAGTAGTCCCAGGTTGTGGCTCTAGAATAACTGAAACACTGTGGTATACTAAAAATTAATTGTGGAAAGCTTTTGATGTAGTTTTAAGGTGATTAAGCAGAGACAGTCCCCAGAATATATGTGTGCCAGTGTCACTTCTAATAGTTTGTGTCATATAAAATAAGAAATCAAATGTTTAAAAATGTTGTTAATGCTCACTGTAAAATTAACAAACTGCTGAGGCAGAGTTCAGATGCAGAGATGCAGAGGGCGTGTTCCTAGTGAGAATACTTTGGATTCCTGTGAAATTGTTGTGGGTAAAATTACAAGTCTAAAAAAGTAAACCTTTCACAAGAAAACAAAATTTTCAAAGATAACTTGAAACATTGGAAATATTTTTATTTATCAGATGATTCATAAACATATTGTTATCCTCCATAAATTTAACATTTTAAAACCATTGGAGTGTTTGTATTAACCAGATATGTATATAATAATAATGATTTATTCTTATAAAGGTTCAGAGGTCCAAAGAGGTGACATTTTGTGGATAGCCATGGCAGGGACTCATCAGATATGGGCACTCCTACTGGACTCTGGCAAACTGCCAAAGAAAAAGTAAGTGACAGCCTCTCTCTTTGAGTAGACTGTACTACTTTGGTGTTCATAGAGTTTCTTTTTTCAAAATCACCATCCTCACTGTACCAGTCAGGATGTGCTAGGTTATACTGCCATAGCACACAATGCATATTCTCAGTGGCTTAAAGCAAGGTGTGTTTCTTGCTCGCTCGCATGGGTTCACTGAGACCACTACTCTGTTGCCCAGGCTGATGAAACAGCCTGGAGCTGTGGGGAGCTTTGCCAGTCATCCTGGCACAGGAAGAGAGAAAGAGGTGGTAAGTTACTCACTGACTCTTAAAATTTCTACTCTGACACACATCACTTCTACTCTCATTTTATCAGCCAGAGTAAGTCTTAGGGCCACACTTCACTTCAGGGAACCTGCAAAGAATCATTCGCCTTAATGTCTAGGAAGAGAACTAAGAATATTCAGTGGGCCCTTATCTTTTAAGACATAGTTGAACTATTTCTAATCATTCATTCAAATAGTTGAATACCACATAGCAGAGTGCTTAATAACTCAGTTTTTGTAGTCAGGCCTGAGATTGAATCCTGGCTCTGCCATTTATTATCTGTGTGAGTTTAGGAGAGCCACTTGAACTTCCGAAGCTTCAGTTTCCTTCTTGATATTACCTCATAGGCTTGCTTTGAGGATTAATAATACATGTGGAGAGCTTGGCGTGGTGCCTAACATGTACAGTAAACATAGGTGGCTTTGCTGTCACAAGGATGTAAGGATGAAAGGGTCGTGTCTACCAAGTTTCTCGTATTTTTTCCTTAGAGCCTTTCCTCTTCCCCCACTACCCCAGGCAGAACGGGCCATACTCTTCTCTGTGACCTCACCGTACCTGGTATGTAGTTACATCACTGCACTAAGTTTTCCTGCCCCAACCCGCTGCCCCTTCCTCTTTCTCTTCTCTCTTTTGACTGTTCCTATTTTTAGCCATTTCCTCCTACTAAACTGTCTCTTAAAGGAAAGAATCCTCTCCCATTCATTTTTGTGTCCCTTGTACCTAGCACAGTATTTGGTACCTAAGAGGAGCTCAGTAAGAGTTTGAGAATAAATGAGTAAAAGCCATTAACCAGAAAGGCTGTCAAATAGCCATGGAAGATGATCATCTCAAGTTACCATTAATAGAAAGCATGATTTATATAGATCATTCAAAATAGCAGATATTCCAAATAGTGTGTTATGTTTGTGCGTGTTGCTTTGGACACATTTATATAATGTGTTATGACATTTAATCGTTTAGTAAATATTTGTGAAACATACTATATGCTAGGCAATAGGGATGAAATAATATGCTCACTATGTTAAGGATAAAATGAAAAGATGTGGTTGCTGTCATCAGCGAACTTACAGAGGAAGAATCAGATCAGCAAACAATTAAAAATTAGTGCGTGCAAAAGGAATCACTGCAAATTGAAATTGTTCGGCCAGGCGCAGTGGGTCACGCCTGTAATCCCAGCACTTTGGGAGGCCGAGGCGGGCAGATCACAAGGTCAGTAGTTCGAGACCAGATTGACCAACATGGTGAAACCCCGTCTCTACTAAAAATACAAAAAGTTAGCTGGGCGTGGTGGTGCGCACCTGTAATCCCAGCTACTCAGGAGGCTGTGGCAGGAGAATCGCTTGAACCCAGGAGGCGAAAGGTTGCAGTGAGCGGAGATTGTGCCACTGCACTCCAGCCAGGGCGACAGAGCGAGACTCTGTTTAAAAAAAAAAAAATTGAAATTGTTCCTTATATAAGTAAGCGGAAGACGCAACATCAGTAAGATTTGGTTGTCAAGGAGGGCTTCTTGGAAGAGGCAACTAAACAGAGACCTGATAGAGTAGTAGGAGTTAGGGAGAGTGGGAAGTTTTCCAGGCAAGAATTGGCACTAGTGATGTCAGTAGAAGCCAGATCACACCATGCCTTGTGAGTACTTTTAAGGGATTTGGATATTCTACAAGTCTTTCTAAAAAGGTTTAAGCTGGGAAGTGACATGATTAGATTTGTGTTTTTGAAAGAACATTAGCAGCACTCAGAGTGGAACAAGACTAGAGGCAGAGATAAGAGATACCACTGAGGAGCCTATTTCTGTTATTGAGGCAGGAGATGATAGTAGCCTGAACAGTGAGATTACCAGTAAGATTTTACATGAGGCATAATTGTAAACAGCAAACAGAAGTAACAGAAGTTGCCAGAATATGCTCTTCTGGGTGATGACTGTTTTAGAGATAGATGGTCCAGAGCTGCCTAAATTTCCTCGTAAGTAGGGTTGTCATTCTCCTTCATAATAGGAAATTGGCACTAGGACTACACTGACCTTTATTTTAGTTTTAAGGATGTATTATCTTTACTACCGATCTTCAGGCAGTAATGACCCTTAGCATTTTAAGAGTTATTGTTTCTCCCTACTCTTTTTTTTATTTAATTAAGAAAACTCTTTTTTAAAGTATTAAGACTCCTTGTAGACTCCTTTCAATTAATTTGTTTAGCATATTAGTTATTACATACATGGTACTTGCTATGTTTATACATTTCTTGAATAAGTGGCCATATTTTGTGCATGCTAAATCCCTTTGCCTCTGTCCCCTGCTCCTTACCTAACTTATTATGGGAACATATCAGCCAGTAAGTGATGGTGAATTCAGGCTTTTGCATATTCAGAAATGATTTACACAGACTCTCATTTTGTGTCCTGAGTCAACTGCTTCTCTTCCCTCAACACAACACACTACCATGTCTTCCTTACAATCTCTCTGGCATAAACTTAAAAACCAGGGTCTAAAACTTTCTCTGCATTACAAAAGGAATCATTGCAATAGTTCTTTAAATAGAAATTTCCCTAATGTATATAAGAAATTGATTTGTACAATTGATATAATTGTACGTAATTATCCCATGCAATTGTAAGATAATTATGTACAGTTATATCATTTTTCATATAATAGTAATGTCTGACCTGGCTATCTTTCAAAAACTATTCTTTAATTCCTTTTGCTAGTCTCTATTTATATACAAGATCACAAAACATTTTTAATGCAAATTGAAGCTTTAAACTATCAAGAGCTAGATAGTCTTTTTAGTTCCCTTTCAAGAACCTCATATTGCATGAAACTAAGGAGTTAAGAATTTAAGGTAGTAAAACCAACCTATCTCATCAATAATCTGATCATTATTTTTATCTTATAATTCTAACTCTATCAGGGATCACTTGTTTAACATTTGAAAGTGATTTCAGTTTTGTGTATGTCAGAGTAAAGTAAGAAGTTCCCTACACAGGGAGTAAATAAGTTAATGGTTGGAAAAATGACAGTGAAAGCTGACTTGAACAATTTAAGCAGGCCAAGATCACTAGTTTATTTTCTACGAGGCTTATCACTATTGATTTGATTATTTACATTCATTTATTTAAGAACTAAATTGCACACAATATACCACATGTTAACTCCACCTATGAACTTGTCTTTTTCAGTGAGTTAACAAAAGGAACCTGCCTTAGGTTTGCTGGAAGTGGAAATGAAGAGAATCGAAACAACGCCTATCCTCACAAGGCAGGTTTTGCCCAACCTTCAGGCCTTTCCTTGGCCTCTGAAGATCCCTGGAGCTGCTTGTTTGTAGCAGATAGTGAGAGCAGTACAGTGAGAACCATTTCTCTGAAAGATGGAGCAGTGAAGCACCTCGTAGGAGGAGAAAGAGACCCCATGGTAAGGACAGTCACTCTTGCACAGTGCGGTCAGACACTGAGCAAGCTGTCAATTTTGTGAATTATAGAAAATTAATAAGATTTAAAAGAGATCATCCTTGGCCTATCTGTGAATCAAAATGAAAGTCAAACCAAAGGAAATGTGACTATAAAGCAACATGAGGAACACTCCATCTAAGAAAAGTGAACTGAGTCTATTATGTATAAATGTTAAGGTTTCCGGGAGAAAGAAAGGATGAAGCATTGATTATTGGAGAAAAGAAAAAAAATGTAAATTAGATGTTGGGCAGTGGGGTGGAAACAGCACCAGACTAGTGGATTTGACCTATTCCTAACCAGATGTAGTATTGTGAGTAAAACTACTAAGCACCACAGATTAATACAGATTCAAAATACTGTCATTTTTTTCTAATCGGAATGAAGTATCCAACCCTATTTATATGAAAATCAGCATTTTCCCTTTTAACTTAAATACCATTTATAGCTATTTGAATTTTCACTTCATATCCTAGCAAAACACTGTACAAGTTATAATAACTGCTGTTTCTTTTCTTTTTAAAAAAATTGAAGAATTTATTTGCTTTTGGTGATGTTGATGGAGTAGGAATCAATGCAAAGCTTCAGCACCCCCTTGGAGTAACATGGGACAAAAAAAGGAATTTACTTTATGTGGCAGACTCCTACAATCACAAGGTGAGTCGTGACAGAATTATATAATATCTTGCTTTTTGTGTGTGGCGTTTAAAATGCTGAAAGATCTGTGAGCCTCCTACAACTGCCACTCTAAAATATAGAAAGGAGTAACAGTATTTGACAACTATAACCCAGCCTGTTCTGCTCTTTTCTTGGTCCTTTCTTTGCCAAGAGGTTGTGATGGTATTCTGAACTAGGGAAAGCACTGAACCAGTTCCAATGGCAATAGCCAATAGTTGTGAATTGTAACCCATCAAAGCTGCTTAGTAACATATTCAGTATATCAAGAGAAGGCAAGTAGCAGGGAAATTAATATGTCAACTAACAAATGAACGTTTTTGAGCTGTTGCATAGTTACAATGCCTGTTAGTAAATAATTTTGTTTTCAGCAGCATTTCCATTTTTGTCTATTAAATTGTTTTAAGTTTTATTGCACTTTTACTTTTTACAAAAAATCACTGGATAATAAATATTCATACAGTACTTCATGATGTGAGACCATAAATTTAATATAATTGAGACATAACTGGCAATCATTAAGTTTAACAAAGGTAGCAAATCCTCAGGCAATGCTGGATGCTCAGGAAGACAAAGTCAGTTCAGTTGTGAAAGTGTGTCCCATTGTGAAGAAACACAATTCAATTAAAAAAATTTTTTTTTAATTCCAGAAATGATTTCATCAAAGATTGCTTCCAGAAGACAAGATGGAGCTAGGGATTTTACGTAGTTTTTAGTTCTTAGAATAGAATATCTCCCCTTAGACTGTAATTTGAATGTTTGGCTTTTCAAGAAAATATGGAAATAACTATTCCTTTTGTGAGATTTATTGAGAATATTAATGGCAGTCAGAAATTAGCTTGCTTGATACTATATTCTGCAATACTGCAAAAATGAGATTGATCTTTTTTGTTCTTTGTTTTTTAGATTAAAGTTGTGGATCCAAAAACAAAAAACTGTACAACATTAGCAGGAACTGGAGACACAAATAATGTTACCAGTTCCAGTTTTACCGAGTCAACTTTTAATGAACCAGGAGGCTTGTGTATTGGAGAGAATGGACAATTATTGTATGTGGCAGACACCAATAATCATCAAATTAAAATAATGGATTTAGAAACAAAAATGGTATCTGTGGTAAGTAATTTTAAAATATAAGTTAAAGGATATGGTTTTAAGAATGATACTAAGATCCTCACAGCACTGACAGGCATTTTTGGTTAGGCTGTCTCCAGGAGAGTAGTAAGTGGATGCTTCTGCTGTGTTCTTTGACAAAGAGACCAGCAGGACTGCTTTAAGGATATCCTTCTATTCTTAAAATAAAAGTTCCATCTGTGCTGAGAGTTTGAAAAAAATACTGGAAATTGGAGAGAATCTAATGAACCTTCAAGAAAAAAAAAAAGGAGAGGACTCAGATCTGTTTTTAAGTGTACAGACATACTGACATACAGTACATACACCTGCTCTGTGGGTTGGATTATTTAGCTTTTTGTTTTTTTCAGTGATCTTTAGATCAGCTTGTAGCCTTTGTTTCCCTGTGATGAGTCCATTACCAAATAATCATCTAACAAAAGCTTTAGAAGCCACATTTCTCAAGACATTGAAAATAAGATTGTGGAAGAAACTTATTTAAATGAGTTATAGTCAATTTTTAAAGATATGGACATGGTTTCTTATAGAATTTTCAAGGAGAAATATCTGTTATAAACTAATTCTTGTTGTATGACATGTACCTGAAAAAAATGCAGCAGTTTTTTTCTGAAAGTCTGGTAATTTACATGGTATATTTTTAAAATAAAAAACACAGATTACTGTTGCAATGTAAGTGTCATTTCTCTTCACATAGATCTCTGATATGAGTAACATCTTCTTATAGTTGACAATGAAAATTATAAGAAAATGTGTATCTACTGTGTTTAAATTTATAAACTTTTGCTAATCTCCTGCCATCTATATGTAGTGGACAGTTACTTTTATTCTGTCTCATTCATAAGTGTTGGGTTTTGTTGTTGCTGCTAAGATAAACTACTTCTGTGTCTACAAAGATCTTGAGCGCCTCTAACTAACACATTCAAATTCAAACTAGGATAGCAATTAGTTTCATTGACATAGAACTTCATTATTCAACTAAAGTCTAAAAATATGCTTTCTCATTCTATAATTAATATAAAGTTCTTATGTTTTAATAACAGATTTTCTTACTTCCTAGCTCCCCATCTTCAGATCTGAAAATGCTGTAGTAGATGGCCCATTCCTGGTAGAAAAACAGAAGACATTACCCAAACTACCTAAATCTGCTCCAAGCATTAGGCTTTCCCCTGTGACTGTGTGTGCTGGCCAGACTCTTCAGTTCAAACTCAGATTGGACCTCCCATCAGGGTCAAAGCTAACGGAAGGAGCACCCAGTTGCTGGTTTCTAAGAGCTGAAGGTATGAGTGTAAGCTTGCAAATACTAATACATTGTACATTCTTGATGTTTAATCTAGTTATTTTTTATTTGTTAGGAGATATTTTTACTCTGTATGGGCAAGATTTGAAGGAGATGATGTGAACAAACGAATCCAGATACAACCCCACATTGGCCATTTGCTTTAGTCTTCAAGAGTCTTTCCTCCCTTTTATTAAAGAATTGTGTAACTCACCAAAAGTTATGAGTCAGTTGTTAGCATGATTGCTTGGAATATGGACTTTCCTATACCTCATCACTTATTCTGATCCTATTCTTCATTCTATTCTTGTTCCAAAAAGAGTCTTAAAAAGTCTGAAATAGAAAAATAAAGTGGAGCCTCCTTATTTAACATCTTTTTGTAACTCTTCCTTTCAGTCACTGTTACGCATTCCTCCTTTTCTTCTATTTGTGAATCACAGTGTGAGCTAACTCCTTACTTCATTTGTCTATGGTAAGGAATCAGTGTACTGCTTGCCTTGCAGTAGTGCTTTCCAACATCTGTAGCCTGGTGGACAAAAATTTTAAAGTGAAATTTTAGTGGTTCAGAACTTCTAAATTACAACTTGTCTCTAATGATGTTCCTCTGTCCTGGTCTCCCACGCTCTTTCACACTTTCTCACTCAATTTTCCATTTCCTTCCCAACTCCTCGTCCTTCATACCCTCTCACACACTTTTGTATATTACCCAAATCCTGGGTAATTCATGCCTTCTTACCTTCGACTTTCTCAGGGCAGCAGCTACTGGCTCGCAATTATAATATCAACTTAGTGTCTAAACCAAGAGGATAATGATATCTTGGTAGACTAGCTGGGAGGAACTGCTGGTTAGTGTTTGGGAGGCTGATTCTAGGGTGATTGAGTCTGTAGGGAAACCACTGCTTGTCACTCCCCACAAGGGAGAAGGCTAACCATGTAGTAGTAGGACCTTTGGAGCTTGCTTTGTAGACAGAAGAATACTCAAACCCTGGCCACTCCATAGCTATCTGTGGGTTCGGAGCAAGTCCTAGACTGCCAGTTTAAGTCTGGAAGTATTACATCAGTTGGAGATCATTAATTTAATTTTTCTCAGTGTAACTGTAAGAGCAGTCACTGTAAGAGTAGTGTATTAAATGGTGTCACTGTGGGAGCAGTATATTAATTTTTAAAATAGGATATTGACAAATTAACATTTGTCTGCATTGTCAGACACACTAATTAATATTGAGTCATTGGGATATAAAATACAGATAATATTCAAGTAAAGTAGTCTATAGAGACTTTATTATTTGTCTAAGATATTGGCCTCATTTTTGTTATATAGGAGCAGATAATTTTCAGGCAATAATCCTAATAATTTAAAGTTTTTGAATATTATAGAGTACATTTGTACACTTATATTTAAAGGACATTTTCTCTTCTGGCTTGTTTTTTAGAAACACTTATTTTTAGCCAAATTTTGGTCTGTATAATCTTAAAGAAGTTAGAATATATGCAAGTTTTAAGCCCAAAAAAACAGTATAAAAGCACTACGTGTATTGTAACTTCACAAATTGTGTGTGTGATATATATGAAAAATATCTAAAGAAACATTTTCTGTTTTATTTCTAGATTTGGACATTAAAATAGCTCAGTATTACTTTCTTTGATTTAAAATATAAGAAGTTGGCTGTGCACGGTGGCTCACACCTGTAATCCCAGCACTTTGGGAGACAGAGTTGGGCAGATCATGAGGTCTGGAGATCGAGACCATCTTGGCTAACACGATGAAACCCGTCTCTACTAAAAAACAAAAAATTAGCCGAGCGTGGTGGTGGGTGCCTGTAGTCCCAGCTACTCAGGAGGCTTAAGCAGGAGAATGGTGTGAACCCGGGAGGTGGAGCTTGCAGTGAGCCAAGCTCGTGCCACTGCACTGCAGCCTGGGTGACAGAGCAAGACTCCATCTCAAAATAAATAAATAAAACAAAAATAAAATATAAGAAGTTCTCTACTGATCTCTCTAGCAAAGTCATGCATAAGATAAAAGATACTCTCCAGTCCAGGAATAAGCAAAGAAAACCAAAGAATTTTAAAGAGAATTTAAAAAGAATTCTTTAAAAGCTTCAACATAGAAGTTTTGTACTTATATCTCTAGGTTCTTATCTTTCACCTTACTCTTATTTGACGTATTTTTCTCAAATTTGATTTTTCAGTAAACTAAAGCAATAAATTAAAAGAGACATCAAGAGGACTGGTAAAGGCAGGTACCCTGAGTTGGCTGACTCATCCTGAGAACAAAAGAAAGAGACAGAAAAGCTAAAAAGTAGACAGCATTTCGTCACACTCAGTAGATGGTCCAGTTTTTGTACAGATGCCCCAAGTAATTGATAAGTGATTAGAAAATGTTCAGTGTTCTCCATTTACATGGTGGGAAAGCATTTCATATATTTGCCAAATGCTGACTCTTGACGCTGCCACCCTCTTAGGCTGAATGTCTGTATGTGTCTGTGCTTCCCCACTATGACACGTGTGTTCCTTCTAAGAGAAGGTCGAGATGAATAAAGACATTTAAAGATGATTTTAATTCTTGAGGGCTTAAAATTTGTTAGTGGTTTATTCTATTTTTGTTATAGATAATCTGTTTATTTCTAGGAAGAGTTTTACATGTTAAAATGAGATATACAAAATCCCTTGGTTTTCACATTACTTAAGCCCACAGAGAATAGATATGCAGTGGTACCTGTTTCTAAATAAATAAGTGTGTGTGTTTTTAAATTATTTTTAGATATTTAATAATTCATTATTAAGCAGAAAGTCACTATAGAGTTGCACATACATTTGTATTCCCTAGATAAAATTTTATTTTGTAGTTTTTATATCCCCGAAGACTTTCATCTATTTGGTAAAAATGATCCATTTTATCATGTGTCATATGTTTATTTCTAAAATTTAATAGGATTTGTTTTTAACTTTAGAGATTAAGGCTTTATAGCCATATTTTCTACATTCAGCTTGATTTTAACAGGAATAAATATGTAATTTATCGTATCCAAACAAAGGAAGAACTATAATAATTAGATATAATGATCATCAGACTGGGAACTTCTAATGAGTGGTCAGTGTATATTATTTATATTTATGTCCTTCCCACAGACCACAGTGCCTGGCAGTTAGAGATTTTTAATAAATATTTGTTGATTGAGTTTATCTAGTCTTCATAAGATAGTCCCAGTTTTCTACTTGTCTTAAACAGTCTTAATAATTGACTTTTTAATTTTTAGGCAATGAATGGCTGCTTCAAGGACAGATGCCATCTGGAGATATAGAGAACATTTCCAGTCAACCAACAATTTCACTACAAATTCCTGATGATTGCTTATCACTTGAAGCCATTGTATCTGTCAGCGTGTTTCTTTATTACTGTAGTGCAGACAGCAGTGCTTGCATGATGAAGGCAATTTTGTTCAGTCAGCCTTTACAAATAACGGACACACAGCAAGGTTGCATAGCTCCAGTAGAGCTCAGGTATGTATTTTAGCCAGCCAGCTAGCTAGCAACCCATTGCCACCACCTGCTGTCCCCCATCCTGACTGTTTCTGTAATTTAAGGAAAGAAAACTTCATTTCTGCCTCTGGATAACAAGATGCCCATTGCTCAGTTCTAATAACTGATATTAAAATAAAGCTATGCTTCTTACTTTTTTTATTATAAACAAACTCCTTTGCTCTGGCTAATACTAGCTGAGTCATTGATCATCATTGGAACTATGATACTGTAATCTGTGTTGCTATTTGGCATAAGACTGAAGTTCACACTACAGTAGAGAATACTATAAGATAATTTGCAATGAATACTGATAATAATAATACCAGATATTTTAACTAACTTTTTCTACCTTTATTAATAACAATCAGTACACTTGAATGTGTAAATTTCACAGTAACTTTAGGCGGAACTTAAGCTCCGGTCCACATTTGTATAAGAACACCAAGTATTCAAGGCATAAAGTCTGTTGTAAGCCAAAAAAAAGTCTTTTCATTGCTATAGAAGCTTAAGGAGTACATCAGTGGTAAATACGATCTTTATTCTCTTCTGTGGTTTTCTCAGTTGAGATATTTTTAAAAGAGAGTTTTTATCTATTTTTATTATAAATTATTCGTTGTTTAACATACCATTATGAATGCCTTAAAACTGTACAGATAAAGTTGGACATAGAATCTCTAAGCACCGACTCCTTTAGCTGTTTTTGAGTGACTGTATTACCAGATAATCCCAGAAGTATTATGACTTTCAAGGAAAAAGGGACTTCAGGACACATTACTTATTGTCTGTGATAAATAATTTATTTTGACAGCTAAATTTGATGGTTATGTATCTTGTTTTGGAAATGTACATTTCACTTGTAAGCATTAAATGCAGATTTGTTGGGTTTAGGTTTTGAGGTTTTTTGTTCCCCTAGTCAGAATTTAAATTATGGTCATTTATTGTGATGTTTTTAAAAATCACTTTTAAGCCTTCAAAGCAAAATTTTCAGTGTGAGGTGCTTTAATGCTGTTAATAGATACAGTATATCCTAATATATTACTCTTCAAAATATTAAGGCCGTAACAGTGATTTAATGATACTATTTTTAAATTTTTGGTTTTTAACCCTTAAAAAAGATACTGAAAAGGTTTTTTTCTATTGTCATAGTTTATAACTACTTAAAAGCCTCATCTTGTTTTTCTTAAGACCTATTCAACATGTTTGTGATTTAATCAGCTTACAAGATTTTAAACACATCAGGTAAACCATGTTTATTTATTCAATAATTATTTATAGACATTATGGCATAATATGCTTCCCTTCCCTGTAAAAACAGTGCTAAATTTGAAGTGTAATCTTTTTTAAGCATCATTATCTATTTTTAATTTTTTTTTTTGAAATGTAGTACTAGTTTGTTTTATTCAAAGGTTAGCTGAATCTCTGAAGTAAGGATGTATATAAATCATGACATTGATTTAATCAGTCATCTGCTGAAACTACTTTTACAGAGAAATATAGATATAAAATTAAAAGGAATCCTGTTTAAAATTATATGTAATTACCTCATAAACCTTTTCTCTCCACAAGCAATCAAAAAAATGAAATGTTCTGTAATAAAAGGGTGTATAACATACTCTCTTTTATGGAGAATAGTCCCTAGTTATTTTATTTTATTTTACTTTATTTTTGAGACGTAGCCTGGCTCTGTGGCCCAGGCTGGGAGTGCAGTGGCGCGATGTAGGCTCGCTGCAACCTCTGCATCCCAGGTTCAAGAGATTCTCCTGCCTCAGCCTCCCAAGTAGCTTGGATTACAGGCACACGCCACCATGTCCAGCTAATTTTTTTGTATTTTTAGTAGAGACAGGGTTTCACCATGTTTGTCAGGCTGGTCCCAAATTCCTGGCCTCAGGTGATCCGCCCGCCTCTATCTCCCAGAGTGCTGGGATTACAGGCGTGAGTCACCGTGCCCTGCCAGCCGGCCTTAGTTATTTTTTAATCTCATTTGACTTACTATATTTCTCATTTCTAGATGGACAGGATGAGAATATTTTGGCCCAATCATTTTCTGTTTAAGGACATAAACCATTTCACACTTAAGAAGTATATACAATTTTAATTTGCTAATTTAGAAATATCTGACAATTTATTTTTCAATATAATATACAAACACAATGTTTGTTACACATGTTCATGTACAGTGAAAATGCAAAGGCATTTTTTAGAATCTATTCCCCTTCATTTGTCTAGACAGTTTTAGGTTAGCCTTAGCTTATACTTTTCTTGACTTTCAAAATACAGTTTTATTGAACATTCTTATTCTTACCAACTGCCAGTCTGCATTGTTTTTGACATTAAAAGTATTATTTATATAGATTAATATGATTTTGAATAAATCACACTTAAGCAATATAAATAGGTTCCTAGAGTTTATGACGAGGATAAACCTCTCACATAAGAAGAAGCACTAGAAAGTTTATTTTTGAAACTCGATCCATATCCTGTAAGGACTTCTGCATATTTTTTATCTTTTGCTTTTCTTGTTGCATAAATTATTATGTCCAGTGATAGTTTAAAAAGAACAAGATTTTAGTGTAAGTCACCTCAATTGAAATGCCAGTAATGTAGCATTACATACATTTTATATAATACCTGAATCTTTGCCCTAAATTATTCTGCTAGTTTGTCACTGATTTTTTCCTCTTCTCTTTATTTTCACAAATGGTAGAATTTCTTGATATGATTCCTGTAAAGAGTTTAGCTTATCTTGAACATTCTGTCTTAAGCAAATATTTAACAAGGGAAAACTTTGTAGTTCAATCACCCATAAGTGTAACTCTAGCAAAATTCAATGACTATGAAAAATAATTTCTTTCTTACCTGTTCTAATAATAGTTATAGTGTTATCAAACCTTCAGAAAGCTATAAATCCTAACACAGCCAGAAAAAAAAAAATTTAGTATGTGTATATTTATGTAGGGGTGTGTGTACATACACAAAGATTAAGAATTATTTGTGATTCTTTTATGGCCAATATACTTTTGAGCTTATACAACTGAGATAAATTACTCTTTGCTTGTTTTTCTGTAATTGGAAAATTTAGGAAGATATTGAAAATACGTATCTCTATAATGTAATAATTTTCTGCCCGCACAAAGTTTACTATTTTAATAATTTTAGTAATTTATGTCTACCAATTACAAATACAGTAGTTACATTTGGCATCACATTTAACCACAGTCATCAAAATCTACTTAAATTCTATAGTTGACAGTTACATAAGAATATATACAGTGGGAAAATGTCAGTGGTTCTTGTGAATGATGGAATTATGGATGTTTTTATTTTAATTCTACTTTGCTGTTTGTATTTTTTTTTTCTTTTCAGTGAGCAATGTGTTATTTTTAAAATCACGGTGGAGGGAAACCCATAAAGTTTAAAGAGTTAAAGTTAACTGAATCATAAGCACTTATATAATAACTTTTTTAAAGTCATTTTTATTACCAAAGCTCAGAACATTGTCTGGAATCCTTTGATCTACCGGTTCTCTTAAGTATGTGATTTTGTGAAGATAGCAATGGTTATAGCTTCTTTTGTTCTGGTATTTTTATTGTGTAACGTAGCGTAGTGGTTAAGAGCTTGGATTTTGCAGTAACTTGGATTCTGATCCTTTAAAATGGGGCTAATGTACCTGCCTTATATTCAGTGAAATATTGTGTGTAAAGCGCTTAGTAATTAATGAAACTGTTAATTATTGGCTTAGTTACTATAATGCTAATTTGGGACCATAAACACATATCACCCTACATTTTCTTTGCAACTGCAATTTGTAAAGGAAAATCTCCCACTAACTATTGGTTATGTTAATATTCTTCATAGAGTTGGGTTCAAGAAGAGAAATGTTTTATAGTGAAGCATATAACTATTTTATAAACAACATTGTAGTTATAAAGAAGCATGCCTATAGTGTCATTAAATTTTTTTAAACACTTTCTGGAGCTATAGGTAATGAACTTGCTTTGAGAGGGTCCAGACATACTCATCCTAAACCACATTCCTACAACTTATGCCCAACAGCTTGCACCAGAGTACTTATATCTTAACCAAAAAGTTTCACTCCAGTGGTGCTTCACAAAATCTTGAAAGTGCTTTCACATATATTGCCTCATTTGAGCTTCAAATAACCTTATAAATCGGTCAGGTAGATGTTAGTTTACAGAGGAGGAGACAGCTTTGCGATAGTGGTGACATATCTGAAGAATAGAAAACTCCCAGAATAGCGCTCGATGCCTAAAGTAGTGCCTGGTGCCAGCAGATGTTCAGTTCTGTCAAACAAGGGGAAATAGTGAGTGGTGGAGCCTTTATTCAGACACAGGTCTCCTCGTTCCTAACTCTTAAGATGCAGGGGGAAAACAAACTGCTCAATTAAGAGTTCTTCCGTGGACGTTTTCTTAAGCCTTCAAATAAACAGAATAATAGATATTTATTGAGTAGATATTTATTGAGTTCTATTTGCCAGCACTCATCTATTAGTGATGAGTGACCTTATGTGAGAAATACCGTTTTTCCTTATTTAATTGGTGAAGAAACACACAGAGAGGGTAAGCATAATCAAATACACCAGCATAACCAAAATCACACATTTAGGGAGTGGCAGGGCCTGTTGGGAGTCTGCTCAACTCTCTGCTATATTGCCTCTCAAAGTAGGTATTCTTAAAACATAAATCTTTCATAACTTTATATATTTATAGTAACTTAATCCAAAGAACCCCAAAAGTACTAGCAATGATTGTTTCTGCAATTTAAATCTATTTAATTAAGCAACTATGCATTATATACTGTTATTCAGACCTTGGAACAGTCTATAATTGTTGTTTGTCAAAAGATTTTATGTACTAATTTTTCTTAATTTCAGATACTATCCAGAGTTTTTCTTGGCAGATAGATGTATTAAAAAAATAGCTTTCCCATGTTAGCTGTTTCAAAAATTGTTTCAAAAGTTCTAACGGTTGGTCCTCAAAAGGTAATTAAGACCTTATCATAAAGAGCCTTTTGCACAGGACTATCTCAAACCCTAAGGAGGTTATTCATATTTAAGAAAATTTTGTTGTATTAAATATTAGTCCAAGTGAGCTCTAGAAATATAGTCTTCTGCTTTCTTGTTTCATAAATAACACTGGTATGTAGACCCCTCCCCATGACTCAAATATTAATATATGCAATTCTGTTTTAGTAAAGTTTTTACCATGGTCAACTTATTCCAGCATTAGGTACTTTTTGTTGTTGTTTGTTTGTTTTTGAGATGGACTCTTACTCTGTCACCCAAGCTGGAGTGCAGTTGTGCAATCTCAGCTCACTGCAAGCTCCGCCTCCTGGGTTCAAGTGATCCTCCTGCCTCAGCCTCCCAAGTAGCTGGCGCTCACCACTGCTGGTACCCACCACAATGCCCAGCTAATTTTTGTATTTTTAGTGGAAACAGGGTTTCACCATGTTGGCCAGGCTGGTCTCGAACTCCTGACCTTATGTGATGCACCTGCCTTGGCCTCCCAAAGTGCTGGGATTACAGGCCTGAGCCACCATAGCCAGCCTAGCATTACTTGCTATTTTTTTGTTTTGTTTTGTTTTTGGTTTTCTTTGAGGTGGAGTTTTGCTCTTGTTGCCCAGGCTAGAGTGCCATGGCGCAATCTCAGCTAACTGCAGCCTCCACTTCCTGTATTCAAGCAATTCTCCTGCCTCAGCCTCCTGAGTAGCTGGGATTACAGGCGCCTGCCACCACGCTTAGCTAATCTTTTGTATTTTTAGTGGATGTGGGGGTTTTGCCGTGCTGGCCAGGCTGGTCTCGAACTCTTGACCTCAGGTGATCTGCCTGCCTTGGCCTCCCAAAGTGCTGGGATTACAGGCATGAGCCACTTTGCCCAGCGCACTAAGTACTATTAAAAGAAATTAAGCAAAATGCTATGTACCAATGATTATGATTCATGATCACGTAAACACAGAATGCAGACTTATCTTTTCATTCTCACTGTGCTAATTAAGTAGTAGTATGGTACAGTAAAGAATTTGTTAATTTTCTTATAAACTCCCTCTCCTGAAATCCATAAGGAAATGTGATAATAAGAAAGTGATAATAGTGTCATATTTTAAAAGTAGAATCCCCTGTTAATCACCAAGATTACCTTTTCTTCCCCCTGTGGCACAGTTTATTTAAATGAAGTATTAGCAATAATCATGTCACTATTTTGTCCTGAATAATTAAGAGTTTGCTTTTTTCCCATGTCTTTGCAATAGGATAATATAAGCAATAGTATTAAAAGTCAAAGGCTTTACTAATCTAGCTATATGTATTCCATGACTAACAAACCCTGGCCCCTTCACCTATGAGTGCTAGAGGTTCGCCTGGCTGCCTCTGGCTTACAGAAGGCTGCCCCAGTCACGGAGCCTGGGTAAGGTGGAACAGGAGGCAGCCTCACTTGGCTTTTCTGATTGCACCCCACCTGTTTCTGAGTGTTGGTTTGGTTTAATTCTTCTCAAGGGTTGGAGTTGGAAAGTGAAAACCATAGACATTCGCTGTGGAATGTTTGCCTGGTTGTTTTGGTGTGTCCCTCTTCTTCACTGGCATGTCGCTTTCAAGTGTACCAAAGGACATTTTGTTCTGTTGAAAGCCCCAGGACCAAAAGGAAAGTATTGCAACTATTTGCAAACATACTTCCCTACCTATACGAGCAGCCGTATACTAAAAAGCACTAAACAAGCACGAACAAACACTAAATAGCCTTATACCAGAAAGCATTCTTGTAACTGTCAGGGCATGGTATGAATTCCTTCCTCTTTAAGCAGCAACTTACTACAGGCTTGTTGGCTTTAAGTGATATAGAATTACACAAATGGTCAGTTATTTTTTAATGTTGAAAACTTGAAAGTGTGAGTAATATGGACATAGTTTACTACCTTTTGCTTTTAATATACTTGGTTATGTATTTCCGTTTGAAATAAAATGAAAGGAGACCTCAAACTAATGCTGCGAAGTAGACAAAATCAGCGCTCAGATTTAAATCCGCCCAATTTAAATAGTTTTTTTTTCCCTTCCCTTTTTTTTTTTTTTTTTTTTTAAGAGACAGGGTCTTGCTCTGTTGCCCAGGCTAGAGTGCAGCAGTGACGTGATCATAGCTCACTGCAGCCTGGAACTCCTGGGCTCAGGATCCTCCTGCTTTGGCCTCCTGAGTAGCTAAGACCACAGGTGTGTGCCACCACACCTGGCTAATTTCTTAAAATTTTTTTGTAGAGATGGGGTCTTGCTTTGTTGCCCAGACTAGTCTCGAACTCCTGGCCTCAAGCCACCGGCCTCGCAAAGTGCTGGGATTACAAACATGAGCCACCATACCTGGCCTGTTATTCCTTATTTATCTAATGTGTGCTAAGCTCATGAAAAATATATGTTGGGGTAAACAGGGCAAAACGTTAGTTGAGAAATTATGCTAATTAATGGGAAAAATAGACACATTCCTCTCTGAACATTTAGAAGGACTCTGCCCTACAACTATCTTCTGTTTTTAGAATTTGTAGTCACTGTTCTTAGTGCCACTGGAAATATATTCATTCTTTGAGCATGTGCAGGATGGGCTGCCTGTTGTATTTATTACACTTTTCAAAATGCTAGCAAGTTTTTGTTTGTATAGAGTTGGAATGTATTGTTCATGCATGCCTGTGATATTCATCATCAAAATATACCTGTAAAAAATAAACCATCGCTTCCTCTCCACACCTTAGGCCTCCCTCTTACTAAAAACAATAGTAGTTTCTGTAGAAGTTTTGGTGAGAAATTATGGTTATATAAATAACAGATACGGCAGAACAAGTTTTGTTGTAGTATTTTTTTCCCTAGCATTTCTTAATAATAGCTCAGTTTTCAAAGGAGGGGAACAATACCCCATGTGAGTTCAAATTAATTTTCTCTACTTTGAGGTATACCTTCCTAATTATACTTTACATAGGCTAATTTTTTTAAGTTTAAATTCTCGCTGTTAAGTTGCATTGAGAAACAATTAGAAATGTTGTAATTGTCATCTCTTTACATGTGGATTATGAACAAATGAAAGTTTGCTGTGTGATTGCAGTTTCAAATTATAACATTTCATAAATATGTCAGTTTTAGAAACTCAGACTCTTTCCCATCTTTTGTATGGATAAAGTTTATGGTTTCATTTCTGAGAATAGAGTTGGTCTGCTGTGCTAACTTCATGTTTCTCATTCCAAAGGCTTGATTATATTTTTTCCTCTGGTGATTAAAAATGCAGCGAAAATCCAATTTACAAGTTCATATATTGATATTTCTAGACATAGTCTAGTTCTAAAAGAATGTACTTGGTGTGCATTTTTAAGTGTTTCATGTAGACAGATTAATATATTTTTGTACAACATTGTATTTCTACATGTATTTAAAGACTACTTTTCGGTGACTTTTTCAAGTGCATGTGTTAACAGAAGATTGGAATGAGCGTGCAGTGGCTTTACTAGTCAGGAGAAGTGTAATACAAGTGATCATAGAAGGTGAGAATGTGTTTAAACTGTACATGGAAACCTAATGCCTCTTTTCTAACGCTTTGTACATTTTTTTCGTGAAATAGATTAAATATTTTCTCTCTAAAACCGTGTTTCTGTTTTAATGTGCTTTCTAAGTATATCATGAGGTAGCTCTACTACTTAGAAACTTGTAAGCCATGATTTACTTGAGCTTTTGGGGAAATGGAAAGCAGAATACTTAGTTAAAAAAAAAAATTTTTTAACTGCAAGCAGATACCTCAAGATCAAATCATACAATCATAATTACTATAGATTTTTTAATATGTATATCGGGAAAGGGTAATTATTCAATAAATGATACTGGGAACATTTGAAAAGAACAACAACAGAAATTAGATCTGTACCTAGCACTGCACACTGAATTTGAAAGGAATGAATGACATGACATAAAAAATAAAATTACAGAAACGCCAGAAGATAAAGGAGATGAACTATAATGTTGAGGGTGAAGATGGCATTCCTGAGACTGACCTAAAGCCCAAAAGCATGACTGGAAAAGTTGACATGTGTGACTCCCTAAAAATTTTAACCATCTACATAACGAAAGAGAACAGAAATGAAAAAAGGAAATGCAAACTGTGAAAACATTTTCAAGACACAAAATGGACATAGGATTACTATGTGTAGTATCTGAAGAGCTCTTATAATCAGAGGAAGACATCCCAATTGGAAAATTGGCAAACAATATGAGCATGCAGTTCACAAAAGAAAATAATGAAACATGTTCAGTCTCAACAAATCATGACATGCAAATACATTCATTCAGCTATCTATTAAGCACCTGTTTTATGCAATATTCCAGGCCCAGTGATGAACAAATTAGACAAGGTCTCTGCTCTGGAACTTGTAGTTGGAAGGAGAGATAAGAAAATGAATAAAACAAAAAGGATAAATGCCGTAACAAGGTAAATAGGGGAGTCCAGGCCTCACAAATGAATTTGAATGATGAGAGAAGCCCAAGTCATGCACACGCACCTGTGGGAAGTGCAGAGGCCACGTAGGCATCTGTTTTCCAAAGGGATTCCACCAATTCCACTCACACTGGCCAAGTACATGACAACCAGTGGATCCACGTTTTCTCCATTATATTGTGAGACTTGAATTTTTGCCCATTAGATATAAGATGGTATGTCATTGTGTTGATTTGCATTGCCATGACCACCAGTGAAGCTGAGCATTTTTCTCACTGATCCAGTAGTTGCACTTGTAAAAATTGATTTAGTAGAATACTTGCTTATGTGCACAAAAGTGTGTCAACATTGTAATAGGAAAAAACTGAAAATAACCTAAATGTCTCAATGGGAGCATATTAAGTAAACAATGGTCTGTCCATACCATGGAATATAATGCAGCCATTAAAAATAATCAGACATCTGGGAGGCCGAGGCGGGCAGATCACGAGGTCAGGAGATTGAGACTATCCTGGCTAACACGGTGAAACCCCGTCTCTACTAAAAATTAAAAAAATCAGCTGGGTGTGGCGGCGGGCGCCTGTAGTCCCAGCTACTTGGGAGGCTGAGGCAGGAGAATGGCGTGAACCCGGGAGGCGGAGCTTGCAGTGAGCCAAGGTTGTGCCACTGCACTTCAGCCTGGGCAGTAGAGCAAAACTCCATCTCAAAATAATAATAATAATAGTAATAATAAATAATCAGACATCTACTTGTACTCACATGTTATGTGAAAAACAAGTTTCTGAATAAATGTAAATCTTATTTTTAAAAGCTCCATACACATCCACATATGTACATCTATAACCCATCCTTGCTTTGCACAGTAATGCATGACCATGAAAATGACCTTGCAAGCTGAAGCTGTGCAAAGCAATCTTAATCAATGAAGGAAAAGATGATTGTTTCATGACCTTTAAAAACATCCGCGAAAATATTAAAAGCTCTCTGTCAATTATAAATGAATGGAGAAATGACAAACATAGTAAAGCTAGTATTTATTTAGTATACCATAATTTAAAACGTTGCAAATATTGAGAATTCAAGTTTTTGTCAAACTTACCAAGAGCATTTGCACAGTGCTTGCTTGCACCTTGTAATTTGCAATACAGGGCAAGTACCTTTTCTATGCCTTGGAAAATTGTTACACTCCTTTCAGTTGTAAAATATCTCTGAGAGTTCTTTTGTGTGTTTATACCAGCATCACTTCCTTTGGGACATCATCTTTTCATTACAACCCATTTCTTCACTTATGTTGATAAATACTAAGTTCACTTTCACTAAGTGTCTCTGGCTTCTTTCCTAGAGTCTCTATCAAAGAGTGCAGTATCAGCATTCCCACAGTCAGCCCAAATTTTATTTCCAGTGTTACTGTTTTTCATTTCTTTGCTGTATTCTTTGTCTTTTTTGGCCAGTTACCTGTTTTAACTCTCCAGTTTTGTAAAATGTCACGTGCCTCTATCACCAGGACACAAAAAGGCAACACAACTACACATGTTGCTGTCTGTGCGTAACAGATGCACGGTGACCAGTCACTGACGGATTTTGAGATAAGTGACATTCTTGGTTACTGACCATGGGACACACCTGTTATTAGTGAGTTGTGGGTTGAAGAGCTAACAGTGAAGTTTATACTTAGTAATTACAGCTAATATGCCATGGAAATGAAATTTGAACTGTGTTGTTTGGGGACTGGTGTTATTTAAGCCATGTAACTGAAATTGTGCCTGTCAGAATTGTTCAAAGACTGCCTGCATATATATATGCACAATATATGCATATATGTGCATCTACACACATATCTGTGGAAATATATAAAGGAATAGAAAAAAATATACTAGGACACAACAAATTCCTAATTAACAATATAGAGGTGAATTAAGGGAAGGGGGCAGGGAGGAACTAGTATTTATTGATCTTATGCTATTTTTGTATTGTTTGAATTTTCATAGATTAATACTTTTTTAGAACAAAGTTGAGTAGAAGGGCTAGGTGTGATGGCGCACACCTATAATCCTAGTACTTTAGGAGGCTGAGGCGGGAGGATCACGAGGCCAGGAGTTCAAGACTAGCCTGGGCAACATAAGGAGACCCTGTCTCCACAAAAAATAAGTGGGAAAAAGATTGCTTCCGTTTCCCACAGTCACAAGGCTTGCTTTGTGTACATTCTGGAAAAGGTAACCAGAATTGTAATGAGAATATAAGAATGTTGAATACATAAATATTTGGGGGGAAAAACCCTATGATGGTTATCTTAGAATATAGGGAGAAAAATATAAAATGAGAGTAAGTGTGCCACAGCTTACTGCAGTGTCTAAGATACCAACTCTGTGCTAGCTGACCCAACACTGTCACTTAACAGAATTGCTTCATCTCCATTGACATTAAGTTTCCTATTTGTATCTGGATATTAATACCCCAGAATTATTTTATGATAATATTAGAAAAGCACTTAACACAGTGACTAACAACTACTAAATGCTCAAATCATTGCATTATTCATGCCATGGAGAGGAGTGAGTTTTCTGCCAGTGAATGTCTTCAAATAGAGTCTGGGAGGTGGCTGATTGGAGTATTTATCACGTCGAGAGAAATGGAACCAGATGACCTGAAGTTCTGAGCCATTCTCAGAGACCGTGATTTGAGATATTTATGGAAAAATCTGTTTCGCTTTATTTCAAAACAATAATTTGTTATTTATTCCTTCAGATTTTATAATACTTTTTGGAATGAGACATACACTACAAACCAATTCAAAAAGTAGTGCATTTTACAGATACGGAGTTTTAATAGGGCTCAGAAAATTATTTAAAATGCTTTTAATCAAAAGCAGCTTTATTAGTGGATACAATTTTGTATCACTCTAATCTCGCTAATTCGATTTATATATATTTATTATAAACTCTTAACTAGGTGAGAAACTTAAGACTTAAAAGGATTTTGAGGGGGAAAAAAAGTGATATTCACTCCCCTCCCTTTTTTCTGTATAAGTAGTTCATGAGAAATATTTGCAAAACTCTTTATATACATAAAACTTAAGCTATTTTAGAACTCCATTAAAATGAAAGTTTTTTTTTAAATCATGGGCTATTCAACATACAGTAATCAAGCTATTTTACAAATCTGTGACCTCAGTCTTACCAGTTTTCCAAGGAATATGCTGTTTTTTATTGAGGTTTTTTTTTTTCATGACATCTGGAATACATCTAGATCTTTATGATATTTTGTGCTCATGTCTTATCTTGCCAGCTGCTAAGGAGCAGAAATTGTCAAAGAAGATCACTGAACTGACAACTGTATTTCCACACTCCTGCCCTTTGAAATCTGCCTTTTAGTATGTGAGGCAACCTTCATCAGCATGTAGTAGCATGTCGGTGCTGGCTAGTTACTTTTCAAGAGGGAGATAAATGCCTCAAAATAAACAATGGAATTGCTTCAAGTCAGTTTTAAAATCTTTAGTTTTAATAAAACTAAAATGAGAAAATGTTTTCACATTAACTGCTTGGTGCCATTTTGCTGTTCATCAAACCACTTTAAGTTTACTTTCTTTTAGTTCAGATACTTTAGCTTTTTAGTTTAAAAACATCTCCACAACTTTTAAACTATGCTTATATCTCTCGTGAGATATACAATACACAAATTGTATATACTAAATTATGTATGCCAACATTTTATGTATATATGTGTATGTGTATATGTATATATGTATGTGTGTATGTATGTATATATACATACATACATACACACATACATATATATCTTGTGAATTTGACCAGTTACAGTTTCTAGTTTCCGCTTTGTGATACCAGAGTCACAATTCTAGTCAATCTTAGGGCATCATTTTAGTAAGTAGTAACTTTCATCAAACTTTGAAAATTGGGATTACATATGTTAAGCATATTTTAATTTCAGTTGCTAAGAGAAACTAACAGATTATCACTGTATAATGTGTCTGCTGTTACTTCTGCTTATTGAAGAAATCACTGAACTGCCACTGAAGAGTGGGAGGCGCCTAAGAAAGGCTGAGTTCTGGAATGCTGCCAACACATGAGAAGCATGAATTTCTCCTAAGATGTTTAGGGTTTTCATTTGAAAGGAGTCATCTCATTCAGTAGTATC